AAAGGGTCCAAAGCACTTTCTACTTTTGCAGAAAACCCAGGTTGGATTCCCAGCACCCACATGGCTGTCTTTAACTTCTGTTCCAGAGGATCCAATGCCCTCTGTAGGTCCAAGACATGCAGGTGACATACATTCAGGCAAAATATCATATGCATAGAATAAAATAGAAAATATTTAAAATGTAAAAAACATGGCATACAGAGTTGTGAAATATTATATGAAAATCTATTAGCATATATAACTAATATATGCTAATTAAAACATTAAAAAAAAACAGAGGAAACACAACCTGGAGGTCAGCCCACCAGAGATAACAACTCCAAAGGCTCACATCACTTCTTCCTCATACATGCAAATAATGAGGGTAAGAGGAGAGCTGGCAGACTTCTGGCTTTCAAAGCAGGCTGGGGGTGCCGCCCAGAGGTAAGGTACTCACCTGTGCAAGCCCCTGGATTCAATCTCTGATACTACAAAAGGAGAAGCACCCCAACTTTTTATTTATTTATTTTAAAGGTTTTTTTTGTTTACGTGTCTTATGTATATGAACGCTTTATCTACATGTACACCTACACACCAGAAGAGGGCATCACATCCCACTATAGAAGGTCGTAAACCAGCATGTGGGTGCTGGGAATTGAACTCAGGTCCTCTGGAAGAGTAGCCAGTGCTCTTAACCTCAGAGTCATCGCTCTAGCCCCTTATTTATTTATTGCAATTAACAAATTAATTTATTTCCTTTGTGTGCCTGGGGGTACATATGGAGATGAGAAAAAAACTTGTGGATGTCAGTTCTCTCCTTCCTACCATGTGGGTCCTGGGGGTGGAACTTAGGTCATCAGGCTTGGTGGTAAGTGCCTTTACCTGTGGAGCCATCTTGCTGATCCTATTTATTTATTTCTATTTTATTTTATTGAGACCTGTCTCATGTAGCTCAGGCTGGCCTCAAACGCACTATGTAGCTTAGGCTGACCTTAAACTCCTGATTTACCTGCTTCCATCTCCCAAGAGGTGGGATTATAGTCCTGTAACACCACACCTAGCTTAAATAAACAAAACAATACCAATAAACTCCAGAAACTGAGCTCATTCAGTGGCTCCAGCTAGAAGCAGTAAGCCGCTTTTCTGTTGTGGCTTTTCTCTCGTCCTAGGTCCTGGGGTTAGACCCATTTATTGTCTTATAGTAACATTGTAGCAGGCAGTCTCCCTCAAAGTAACTCTATGACCACTTTGCTTATTGTCCCTGTTCTGGATCTCACTCTGTAGCCCAGGCTGGCCTCCAACTCACAGAGATCCGCCTGCCTCTGCCTCCTGAGTGCTGGGATTAAAGGCGTGTGCCACCACTGCTGCTCGGCCATCTCAGATTTTAGCATGCATCTCAACCACCCAGACAATATTAAAAGAAAGTTGGTAACACAGAGGGAGAGGGAGGTAGGAGAGAGAGATAAGTAATGCTAAGGATGTCTGAAAAAGCCATAAAGAATCACATTATCTTATGAGTTTATCTTAAAATATTAAAGTATCATGTGTATGTGTGGGCACATGTACACATATGTAGTTTAAATGGAGTTACGCCACACCAGGTGATAACACTCCTTTTGACCACACAGTTTTCTTCTGAAGAAACATGTTCATAATATATCAGGGAAAGAGGCTGTCCTGGAGTGACAGGCCTGAAGCTCCAGGGGGTACTAAGGCCAATCACACTGTAGAAGGAGAAGCATCCCAAACTCTGAAGCCCCCTACACAAGTTCAAATCCTGTCTGCTATGTACAAGCTGTGGGACAGCCTAGCTTCTCTGAAGATATGTGAATGAAAAAAAGAAAAAGGAAGGCCATGACTGCTCCTAGGTATGGTGGAGGAGAAAGTTTATTGTAGATAAAAGGGAGAGCATAGTCAGAGGCAGGGACGTCTGGGAGAGTCCAGAGTGAACATGACCCTGAGCCATGTGGTTGTGGTGTAGTGGTAGGAAGCCGGACTAAGAGACCAGGAGGGTAAAGGGTAGACAAAAAACCCAAAAAGTCCAGGTAACCAAAGTGGTTGGATTATATAGGGAAGGACAGCTCGGAGAAATGCGGCCCAGCCCCGGGGCTAGAGAAGTTTAGGGTAGGGGGCAGGGTATGCCAGCCATACCCTGTAACCGGTAGGGACTGAGGGATGCTGAGAACTTGGCTGCCAGGTCCACTTTGATATGTTAAATAGGCACCTTAGTCTTTGTCCTGGGTTTGAGACCCAACATCTTGGTTCAATGATGTTTGCCAGGCATAGACAAGGACACTAACTAGTTCTATCTCCACACAAATACCACACCACACCACACACAAACACACCATCAAACCCGTACACACACATATACCATCACCACCACCACCATCAAACACCCCCCAACAGTCACATACACACACCACACCATACACCACCACCACCACCATCAACACCCCCCACATCACTCCACACACACACATACACCATCACCACAACCACCATCAAACACCCCCCAACAGTCACATACACACACCACACCATACACCAACAACAACAACACCCCCCACACCACTTCACACACACACACACACACACACACACACCATCACCATCAAACATCCCCCCACACCACACTCACATACACAGTACATACATACACATATGCACACCACACCACACACCACCACCATCACCATTAAACACACACACACACCCCACACACGTGCACACCCTCACCAAACACAAACCGGGATAGTAACTATTTATCCTTCCTTCACGTTCTCCCTTCAACAAACACTTACTGGGGTTCAGCTATGGGCCCAGGGGAGCCTGAGAGGGAGCTGGCTATGTGGACACAGCCAACAGGCACTTAGCTGGAACCTGGGCTTGCCATAGCAGCTCTACTCATAGTAACCCCCTATCAAACTGCTGGGGGTATTTGAGAACAGTGAGGTGCATGTTATTGACTAGCTGTTGTCACTGTCCTCAGAGGGAAGTGTCGCCATAGATGGACACTAAGCTTGTGCTAGCCAACCATAGGGTAGAGGGGACTGTCTTCCCCTCCAAATTCCAGTGTCCTTTGGAGGAAGGCCAACTTTTGTGATTTTCCTTGGGCAGACGGATAATCACCTTAGGCCCCTAGTTCTGTAACAAGGGTCCATCTGTCTGTAACAGGCATCCATCTGTCTGGCAAGGGGGCTGGCATGCAGGAAAGACCACAGTACAGAATTCTGGACTTGGCTCTATAAATCTTTGTTTGCTTATTTATCTAGAGTTGGTTCTTTCTGTGTAGCCAAGGCTGGCTTTGAACTCTAGGTCCTCCTGAGTCAACTTGCCCAGGCACCATGCCCAGCTGGTTACACCGACTCTGAAGGCATTAGCATGGCATGGGCATTCCAAGCAGAAGAATGAGCCAGTTCCCATGCACCTCCATGGATGAAGTGGAGATATGTACTTTCAATGGGAAAAACAAGGTATAAAACACTGTTTGGGGTACACACTATACACGGGCACCCCCCCCCCCACACACACACACATGCACACACCAGGGCACTGGTATCAGGAGGAAGTTGAGGAAGCCCCTGTCCTCTGCATGGTTCCTATTATACTAACCTTTCGTTTGCATTGTCTGGTAGAAACACCACCACCAACATCTATGCATCAAAAACCCACTCTGTACAAAATTAAACCGTTAAAGTTACTAAGTAAAAAAAAAGGGGGGGGGCCTTGTGGACTAGGGACGTACCCTAGTTGGTAGAGTGCTTGCCTAGCATGCACAAAGCCTTGGGTTTGGATTTGATCCCCAACATGGCATAATCGGGTATGGTGGTACACTCCTGCAATCCAGGACTTGGGAGGCAGAGGCAGAAGGATGAGAAGTTCAAGGTCATTCTAGGACACACAGAGAGTCGGAGGCCTGGAATATATAAGACTCTGTCTCAAAAAGCAGGGGAGCAGGCCTGGTTAGGTCTCAGGAGCCAGGGGGTACCCCAGGGGAGGCTTCTCCATTCTTCACCCCGACCTTGCTGACCTCTGAGGGTTCAGGGGCACAGATGGGCTGCTGTCTGCTCCTGGGGTGGGGGCTGGGGGGAGCAGATACAAAGGATGTGACTACAGGGCAAGTCCAAGCTGGGAGGGTAGCTGCAGCTGCATTTCTCACACAGCATCCTGCTGGAAGGCCTGTGGGGGAGGGGCACCAGCTTGCTCCTCTGCCTACAAGTCCAAGGTCATCTCTGGTCACAGAGGCCTGCCCTGCTTGGAGGAATGGAGGTGGGCAGTATGCTGCTGTTGCCACCACAGTTGATAGGGAAGAAGGTCTTGGTCAAATCTGAGACACCCAAGCCTGCCTGGTTAATAAAGATGTTGACTCCCACGTCCTCTTGGACCTCATCCTGTCTCAAGCTCCCAGCCATGTGGCCGGGCTCTTTGCTTTTGAAGTTTTTTTTCTTTTCATTTTTTTGTTTTGTTTTGGTTTGGTTTTTCAAGACAGGGTTTCTCTGTGTAGCTTTGCGCCTTTCCTGGATCTCACTCTGTAGACCAGGCTGACCTTGAACTCACAGAGATCCGCCTGCCTCTGCCTCCCGAGTGCTGGGATTAAAGGCGTGTGCCACCACCGCCCAGCCCTTCATTTTGTTCTTTTCAAGTAAGGTTTCTCTGTGTAGCCCTGGCTGTCCTGGAACTTGCTCTGTAGACCAGGCTAGGCTCAAACTCAGAGATCCGCCTGCCTCTGCCTCCCGAGTGCTGGGATTAGGACATGTACCACCACCACCCGGCTCTGCTTTTGAAGTATATATATCATATGTATTTCAGGAAAATATTCTCATTGTAAAAATCTCAAACATTGCCGGGCGGTGGTGGCGCACGCCTTTAATCCCAGCACTCGGGAGGCAGAGCCAGGCGGATCTCTGTGAGTTTGAGGCCAGCCCGGGCTACCAAGTGAGTTCCAGGAAAGGCGCAAAGCTACACAGAGAAACCCTGTCTCGAAAAACCAAAAAAAAAAAAAAAAAAAAAAACTCAAACATTAATAAAATACAGTCAGTAAAGACCAATCAACTTCCCCATATTTCCTGAACTCTGTCCCCTCAAACTGTTGTTAGTTGATGAGAAACATAAACATTTTCCTGTGGTGGGCATACAGCCATTCACACTACACCTGTGCTGTCCTTGCCTGGGTCCAGGTCCTGGTATTATGTGAACTTGTCTGTTTAGGCGTGCTTCTCACAGAAACACTAACATCCATGTTAGATGTTAGATACCTTATTTTTCACTGGGCACCTCGTGGACATTTTTTTTGTGTGTGGGTCATTGCATATACAACCACTTCCTTTTTAGTAGCTGGGGAGTCCTCTTCCTCTCCCTCCTCTTCTTCCTCCTAGTCTTCTTCCTCTTCCTCTTCCTCCTGCCTTTCTTTTCCTTTGAGGCAGGGTGCCTCCTGTGTTGCTCAGGTTGGTCTCCAGTTCCTAGGCTCAAGTAATCCTCCTGCCTCAGCCTCCCAAATAGCTAGGACTATAGGTGCCTGCCACTGTACAGAGTCTGTGCACACAACTCCGTAACATGAGCTGGTCCCTCATTCCTCTGTCCATACCCTGACTTTATTTATTCTTCCTTGCAATGCTGGGGATGGAACTCAGGCCTCTGTGCACCCTGGGCAAGGGTTCTACCACTGTGCTGCACTCCCAAGGCTGTCCAGTCTGCGGTCAGTACACATCTAACTCATCTGCACAGTTTAGCTTCTGCAAGTAACCCGGCAGTTACACTTCCAGCTGAAGGAGTTTCTCAAGGACAGGTGCTCACCAAACCCCCGGCTTCTCAAAATGCACAGGTACTCAAAGCAAATTGCCCTCCCCAAAACCTGACATCCATCCTATGTCAGCCACTCCTGGAATCAAGTGGTTCTCCTGACTCAGCCTTCCTAGGAGCTTGGACTATAAGGCATGGACCAGCACGCCTGGTGTGTTGAGTTGACTTTAAAACATTTTAAAATGATATTTACTTGTTTATTGTTATGTGTGTGCATTTGCAAGTGCTATGTCATGTAGGTGGGGGTCAGAGGACAACTTGCAGGAATTGGTTCTCTCCTTCTACCATGGGATCTTGAAGAGTGAGCTCAGGTCAGCAGGCTTGGTTGCAAGCATCTTTGCCTGCTGAACCGTGTCAGGGCCCTGGGCTGACTTTTTTGGTGTTTGTTTGTTTATTTGTTTGAGGTAGGGCCTCACTTTGCAGATTTGGCTGGCCTAGAACTCGCTAGGTAGACCAGGCTGGCCTCAAACTGTCAGTGGCCTGCTTGACTCTGTCTCTGGAGTGCTGGGATCAAAGGTGTATACTACCACTCTTGGGTCTGGGTTGACTTTAAAAATGTTTTTTTCTAGTTTTGTTTCATATGTGTATGAGTGTTTTGCTTGCATGTATGTATGTACAATCACATGTATGCTTGGGAACCAGAAGAGGGCTTCACATTCCCCGGAACTGGAGTTAGTTACAGATGGTTGTAAGCCATCATATGGATGCTAAGACTCAAACCCAGGTCCTCTGGAAGAGCAGCCAGTGCTCTTAACCACTGAACCATCTCACCAGTTCCCCTGGCTTGACTTTTAAAAGCCAGATAACTTTCTAGCCATCTTGGCTTGCCCTCCTTGTAAGAAGGGCCTTGACCTCCTGCCTAGGATGATTTCAGCGGCAAAGGGAGGAAGGCCTCCCCCTTCACATGTCTGCACCAAAATGCCATTTGATTGTGGTTCCTTCCCAAAGAATGGGGCTGGGGACGGCTTGCCCCTAGCAGTCCTCAGTCTGTCAGTGCTCTGGGTGCCTGACTTCCTGCCACAAAGGCTGGGATGGTGAGGAGGGAGGGCAAAGAGGGAGAACTTGGGAGGGGGGAAGCAAAGGGGGCCAAAGGACCCCTCAGTGCTGGCCAGTTCATGCCCAGAGCAGGTGCCATAACTGTTCACCCTGAGGAGCAGCATGGACTCACAGGACAGGGGGAGCAAGAGGTCCGACGATGAGCCAGCTCTGTCTGGCACAGTGTGGGCCTAGTCTCCTAGCATCCTGCTCTATCACTACACAGTGATCTACCCCAGGCTTGTCTCCCACCAACACTCACAGGATTCAGACCCACACAGTCACTGCCATAAACGCTCTAATGTGTGCTAGGAACACCCACACGGGTCTGGAACATCCCCCACAAGAAGGGGTGGTGGGAACACGACTATCAGTAGGGTAGGATCTGTGGGAAGAACCTTCCAGGTAGCAAGAACAGACTGTAGAAAGCTGTACTGGTAGTGATTTCCATCCGATGGTGAAGCCAATCCTGGTCCGTGTCTCCGTGTGATGGCACAGCTGGATGGCTGGAGGCCCGGCCTTTACCACGGTATGAATGCAACACAGGGTAGCTCAAGGCTGAACCCATCCTTATTTTCATTTGTGGTCAGTGGTAGCTCTTGTGTTAACTCAGCTGTCACCACTCACTTTCAGACTCCTAAAGACGTGGACACCATGACCGTCAGCCAGCCAGCGACAAAGGTACTAGGCTGGGGTTCCGCAGGCCCAAGGGCAAGGCTAGTGACTCCCCACGAGTGCTTGGAGCAGCAGTAGATCTACCCTACAGGAAAAACAAGAAGGTGGGGGGAGGAAGAGAAAGGGAGGCTGGGGGAGGGTGCAGATGGGTGAAGGAATAGAGGGATGGAGGGAGGGAGAGATGGATGGATGGAGAGCAGATGAATAGAGGGGTAGATGGATGGATGTACAGGGGAGAAAATGATTGGGGACAAAGAAGCATGAAGGTCTTCTGACCATTGGACAGAGAGGACAGGTCACTGTCAGGGGTACTTCGAGGCACCTGACTTGAGGTTTCCAGGTAGAAAGTAGGATCAGAGTAACCCGGTGTGCTCCTAGCTAGTGGGCAATGGGCAGAGATGGCAGAGGCTGCAGAAGCTCTGCCCGAGGCAGTGAAGGCTGCTTAAGAGACAGTCTGGGCTGGCCTTGGACCCTGGGGGGCTTTGGGGGTAATGGTGACAGGCTGTGGGTGCTGGAAAGCAGAAGGCAGCCACAGGCTGTGAGTGTGATGGTTAGTTGGTTGTTTTTTTTGTTTGTTTGTTTTTTTCCTTGTTTGATTCTGTTTTGTGACAGTTTCACTATGTAGCCCAGGCTGTCTCAACTTCACAGGGCTCCGCCTGCCTCTGCCTCCTGAGTGCTGGGATTAAAGGCATGCGCCACCACCGCCGGGCGATGGTTAGTTTTCATTATCAACTTGACATGAGGGAGAATCACCTGGGAAGAGAGTCTTTTTTTTTTTAAGATTTATTTATTTATTATGTATACAGCATGTATGACCGCAGGTCAGAAGAGGGCGCCAGATCTCATTATAGATGGTTGTGAGCCACCATGTGGTTGCTGGGAATTGAACTCAGGACCTCTGGAAGAGGAGTCAGTGCTCTTAACCTCTGAGTCATCTTTCCAGCCCGGGGAAGAGAGTCTTAATAAAGGATCACCTAGATCAGGCTGGCCAGTGGGCATGTCTGCTTGGGAGGGGCCTCGTCTTGATTACATTAATTGATGTGGGAAGACCCAGCCTAAACATGGAAGGCATGCCTTGGGTTTGGGTTCTGAACTGGGTAAGAGCAGAGAAAGTGAGTTGAACACAGGCATGCACTCTTTCCTTTCTGCTCTGGACTTGTGGTGTGATGTGATTAGCTGTTAGTTCTCTACCTCGACTTCCCTGCCACGACGGACTGTAACTCGAAATCCTGAGCTGTAATAAACCCTTCCTCCCGTAAAATGCTTCCCTGTCAGGATGTTTTGTGCCTGCAATAGAAAAGAAACTAAGATACTGAGCCTCAGTTTCCCAGTCTCCATGTAGAAACAATAGAACCTTCCTCACAGTCATTCTGGGGAATGAAGAGAGAAACCTCGGGGCAGAGACCTTCTGAAGAGGGACAGTCGTAATGGAATTTAGGACTGGGTGTGGCTCAGTGATACAGTAGATATTTCAGCATGTATGACACTCTGCTCCCAGTTTTAAGGGGGCAGGGACAGGACATCCTGGCTACTGTGCCTACAGGCTTTAGTGCATTCCGGGCACTATTTTTTCTTTTTAAATTTTATTATATTTATTTCATGTGTATGAGTATCTTACCTGTGTGAATGGCATGCAATGCCTGTGGAGGCCAGAAGAGGGCGTCAGAGATAGACTGGAACTGGAGTTACCCTCAGTTGTTAGGTGCTATGGGTGCTTGGGAACAGAATCCAGGTCCTCTGCAGTATCAGCAAATGCTTTTTTTTTTTTTTTTTTTTTTTTTTGAGACAGGATTTCTCCGTGTAGTTTTGGTGCCTGTCCTGGATCTCGCTCTGTAGACCAGGCTGGCCTCGAACTCACAGAGATCTGCCTGGCTCTGCCTTCTGAGTGCTGGGATTAAAGGCGTGGGCCGCCGCCGCCACCACCACCCGGCCAGCAAATGCTCTTAATTGCTGAGCCATCTCTTCAGTCCCCAGGCACTCTTTTTTAAAAAATTAATTAATTAATGTAGTTATTTATTTAATGTATTTATGAATATGTGTCTGAGTGTGTGTAGTGTGTGTGTGTGTGTGTGTGTGTGTGTGAAGCACATACACGCAGGTGCCCAGATCTCTTGGAACTGGAGTTACAGATGGTTGTGAGCTACCTGACATGCATGGGTGCTTGGAACCTGAACCTGTGTCCTCTGAACAGCAAGTGCTCTCAATCACTGAGCCATCTCTCCAGGTACACCCTTCGTCCCACATAGCATCAGGGTTTTTTTTGGTTTGTTTTTTTTTGGGGGGGGGAGGGGTGTCAAGGTTTCTCTGTGTAGTCCTGGCTGACCTGGAACTTGCTGTGTGGACCAGGCTGTCCTCAAACTCAGAGAGATCCGTGTGTCTCTGCTTTCAGAGCACTGGGGATTTAAGGTGTGTCTCACCATGCCTGATCTCAGGCACTCTTTGCTGCCCATCCTGCCCCACCTCTTCTGTTATGTTGCCTGGCACACAGCCTCATTGCCACCTGGATAAATGTGAACCCTGCAAATGGCTGGTGCTGACTCGTGGCATGCCTTGCTGCGTCACTCTTGATTCAAATGGCTTACAGTTCCCTGTAGCCGCAGCCAGCACAGAACTCTCCTACACTGATACCCAGTTCTTTCTGCACACACTCTGTAGACCTTATGCTCTATGGCTAGCTGACCCTAGCTAGGGCCAGCAGGACTCGGCCACCCAGGCTGCTATCCAGGAGCTGGGAAACAGCAGTCTGCTTTGGGCCTGGGGCTGGCCACAGCCTTAGTTTCCGATCTGTAAGATAGAAGAGCTGGCAATCTGACTTGACAACTCCCAAGGGCCTTGTTTGTCTCCAACCCCCATCCCTGCCCTCTGGCTTGTATTCCCAGTAGGCATACCGCTAAAGGGCGTGGGGCCCTGTCCAGATCAGGGGGGCTGGCAGGAAGTTTGAGTTTGACTCTATACTCCCCATCACAGCCCTCAGTGATGGGTGCCTACCTGGATCAATCACTTCAGCAAGCCTCTGTTTCCCAGTCTGGGAATGACTGCTCCCTTCTTCGGTCCCAGTGTCCAGGCTGCTGGAAGCTCGCCTGAGCTGTGGGATAGGAAAGAGCTTTACTTGTTGGGAAGATTCATTGTGGTGACTGCAGGTGTGACCCCTAAAGAACATCAAAACTGAGATGCCCCTACCCCGAAGGCTGGAGCCCTGGCAGTTTTGTGCTGAACAGACAGCCTCCCCGGGGCCTTAATAGCCCCCCTGCACCAGGCTGGGCTGTCCTTTAGTGGGTACCCCCACCAGGGGCCCTGTACTATCTTAGTTAGGGTTTCTGTTGCTGTAACAAAAACATGACCAAAAGCAACTTGGGGAGAAAAGCGTTTACATCACCTCACAGATTATAGTCCATCACTGGGGAAAGCCAGGGAGGAACCTGGAGGCAGGAGCTGATTCAGAGGCCATGGAGGAGTGCTGCTGACTGGCTTGCTCCTCATGGCTTGCTCAGCCTGCTTTCTTTCTAACACCCAGGATCACCTGCCGGGGGGGGGGGGGGGGGGGGGGGTAGCACAACTCACAGTGAAGTAGGTCCCTCCACATCAATCATCTATCAAGAAAATGCCCTACAAGGCAATCCAGTGGGGGGCGTTTTCTCAATTGAGGTTCCCTCTTCCCAAATGCTTCTAGCTTGTGTCAAGTTGACACAAAACTAGGCGGCATTGTGACCGTGGAGGGGGAGGGGAGAGTATGCAACATCACACCCCCACACACACACATCCTGTCCATTCTTCTTCCTCTTCCTCTAGGACCCACGGCCCTCCCCTGCCACCTTCCCTACTTTCCCTGGGCCTGCTCCGTGTCCACTCTGCCTGAGGAACCCCTAGATACCGGATTCCGGGCAGACCTCCTCTGCCAAGTGCCCTCCAAGGTCAGCCTGTGCAGAGCACCGTGAGGCCAAGGGGAGGGAGAAAGGTGTCCTTGTGCTCTGCAGTCTTCTGACCCAGCTACTGTCCCAGAGCCCGTGTGGTGTTGTGGTACACCCCACGCCCTTATCACAGGAAACCATCCCAGGGTCTCTTCCCTTAGGCCATGCTGTCCTTCCCTCTCCTCTGACCTGTCCTTCTGCCTGTCAAGCCTTCCTCGGGCCTCTTTTTCCTGCTGTCCCCTGTTGACTGGGTGGGGAGACCTCTTTCCCTCTGAGAGTGAACTTAAGTCATATCTGTGCAGGTCTGGAGGGGACCGTGAGCCTGGAAGGCAGGAGCAGGTTTCCCAGGTGCACTGAGCCTGGCTGGGTGCCTGGCACCTTCTGCCACTCCTTAGATGTGTGCTGGACAGCTGAATGAATAGACACCCCTCGCCACTCTCCGCATGGCCACCCGGGGCAGTTAGGAGTCTGTGTGACTTCAAGCACAGACAGACTGAGCTATATTTAGACACCAGGGCCAGGGCGAGCTTCTCGGGCGGAGGAGGTGGCAGAGCCCTGCAGCGGGGCCCCAGGGGACTCCTCATGCAGTGGGACAGTCGCTGTGTGAGAGGCCAGAGTCATTACACTCCCACAGGCTCCCCTACCCGAGAAAGGCAGGGACAGCTTCCCTTCGCCCCTGGAGACTCTCAGGCTGGCTTCATGTGCAGCTGAAAAAAAAATGAGAGCGGGTCTGGTTGGTCAGTTCTGAGGCTGGGCCAGACCGAGGGCAGGAGTTTGGGGGCTCCTTTGGTCTGTTCCTGTTCTGTCTACTTGTCCTCTCTCCCTTCCTCCTCAGTGGGCACCTAGCCAGGCTAGCTGGGTGTGGCCAGTGGGGAGCCCAGGAGGGGCTGTCCTAGTCCTGGCCCCCAGCTAGCTACCCAGCTCTGGGGCGGGCAGGAGGCAGGATGGATGTTCGCAATAATTACCCAGCTGCAGCTTCCTCGGAGCGGCAGCCATAGCAACCGGGCTAGCGCCCCAGCCGCGGCCAAGGGGCAGGGGGAGACATGGGCGCCCTGGGAAGGTCGGGGAGGGTAGCTCTAGGCACAGCCCCCAGCTCCCTCTGTTGGCACCCTCACTGGCTCACGCATCTCCAGGGGCGGGGGAGGAGGCTTTGTCAGCGCCGCCGGGAGGTTGGCACAGCCCAGAGGAGTGTCAGGAGAAGCACCATTCCCTTTGCCAGGGCTGTAGGGCAGGGAGAGCCGGTATCAGGGGGCAGGTGAGCCCAGAGTCCCAGTACTTAGAGCTCAATTGGGCCCATGCATGTCCCCCTCTTCAGCGGCTGGCCATGGACCCAGGACAGCTAATGTAACCACCCATAGTACCATCCCTCTCCAGGTGTGCATCACCCCTGTGGCTGCTGGCGCTCCCTTGGGAGGGATGTTTATGGCTCACTCACCCAGGTCCTCTCATAGTAGGCACGGAGCTGCTTTCGGCAGGATTGGTTCTGCTTGGGGGTTTGCCTGTGAGGGAGGGCCTTGGGACCACAAAATCACCTCCCCCACTCTATTGTAGGAGGCTCCGCCTCCCTCCCTCCTGTGGAAGTTGGATTAGATGGAGGGACTGTGTTTACCGCTCATTTTATAGGCAGGAAAATTGAGGCCAGAGAGATGACCTGTCTAAGGTCACACAGCTTAAAAAAAAACGTGGAGTCTTGATTCAGCCTAGTCTTGCTTTGCCTTGCCAGTGCTGTGGAGCCCATTTGCCCCTTCAAGCTATCTGGCAGTGCTGCTCAATGGTCAGCTGGAATCAATGTCTCTGATTTTCTTATCTGCAAGACGGGAATGTAGCAGGATTGTCCCCGTAGACAGTGCAGGGATTAAAGAAAGCAGATTGGAGAGTGTGGCACCTGGCTCGTGGGAAGTGTGAGCCACTGTTACAGCTGGAATAGGTGTCTTTTCCTGTTGTTACAACAGGGGGAGGCAGCAGGCCTTGATGTTTACCAAGGCCCCTTTGGCTCTGCCGGCCCCCTAAGGTTTTTTGGGTCCCTTGCCAGCTGGGCTGGGCAGGCTCTGGGACGTGGGAATTCACAGCCCAGTGAGGAGGTGGGTGCTAAATAGACTAATCCCATGAGTCCCAAGTCCCGAGAGTGCCACCAGTCTGAGGTGTGTAGACTGGAGAGAGTAGATGGAAGCCTGGGGCGGGGTGGGGGGTGGGGGGTAGGGTGGGGCAGGGCCTTGACAGTCACAGGAATTACCTCTTCCTTGCCTCCACCCCCCAGGCCTGGAAAAGTCAAAAGAATATTCTAGAATAGAGTGTCACTGGAGTGTCACTGGAAGAACTGAAGAGGGAGCAGGGTTTGGGGACACAGGAGACTGAGCTTGGGCTGGGTTCCTGGGTCTTTAAGAATCTGAGTTCTTGGGTGTAATTCTCAAACAGCACTTAGCTCTGACCTGGTTGGTTTTTTTTTGTTGTTGTTGTTTTTTTTTTTTTTTTTTTTGGTCAACTTGACACAGCTAGAGTTATCTGGGAAGAGGAAACTCAACTGAGAAAATGCCTCCACCAGATTGGCCTGCAGGCAATCCTGCAGGGCATTTTCTTAATTACTGAGTGATTCAGGTAGTGCCTTCTGAGGTGTATTGGTGGTCCTGAGGTGTATAAGGGAGCAGGCCAAGAAAGCCATGGGGAACAAACCAGTAAGCAGCGATCCTCCATGGCTTCTGCTTAAGTTCCTGCCTCCAGGTTCCTGCCCTTAGTTTTTCCCCTGACTTCCCTTCATGATGAACTGTGATTGGGACATGGAACCTGAAATAAACCCTTTCCTCCCCAAGTTGCTTTGGGTCATGGTGTTTTGTCACAGCCTAGAAACACTAAGATGGGGTTGATGTGTGCTTTTTGAGCGAATGAGTGGATGAATGAATGACTTAATGATGGGGAGCCACCTTCTGCCCTGGCCCAGCACTCATCCCCTCTCTCTGCCCCCCCACCCCCCACCCTCTGGCCACTAGCTTAGTCTAGTACATTATCAGCCACCACCCCTGGGAGCCCATAGCATGAGGTGAAGGATCAAGAATTAAATGGAAAAATCCCAGCTCAGCAAACTGGCCATTGTACAGAAGCACGTTCTGAGGAAAGAAAGTACACACCAGGCCAGTCGGGATACTGCTTGAGTGGGGTGTTGAAGGGTCAACAGGAGTTCATCAGGCTGCTGAGGTGAAGGACACAGCATCTGTGTAGTCAGAGAGACAGGAAACACCCCAGCAGGATGTTCTGTAGAAGAAGGTAACAAATAAGGTAGCAATTTCATTGAACACTGACTGTACGTCTGCCCAATGCTCCAGGGTAAGCTTGTTAGAACCCTTGGCACCAGAGGCCTGTGTCTTCTCCCCTTCTCCCCTCACCAACCTCTCCAGTGTAGCCCTGGCTAGACTCAAACTCATGGATGATCCTTCTGCCTCTGCCTCCCAAGTGCTGGGATCACAAGCCTGTGCTATCAGCACCCATCATAATTCACTTTTATTTTTTTATTTTATTTTTTTTTTAAAGATTTATTTATTTATTATGTATACAGTGTTCTGTCTGCACATATCCCTGCAGGCCAGAAGAGGGCACCAGATCTCATTATAGATGGTTGTGAGCCACCATGTGGTTGCTGGGAATTGAACTCAGGACCTTTGGAAGAACAAGCAGTGCTCTTAACCTCTGAGCCATCTCTCCAGCCCCATTTTTTTTTTAAATTTATTTATTTATTATGTATACAGTGTTCTGTCTGCATGTATGCTTGCAGGCCAGAAGAGGGCACCAGATCTCATTACAGATGGTTGTGAGCCACCATGTGGTTGCTGGGAATTGAACTCAGGACCTCTGGAAGAGCAGTCAGTGCTCTTAACCTCTGAGCCATTTCTCCAGCCCCATAATTCACTTTTATTGATGAGGGATTGAGGCTCAGATGTTAAGTGGCTTGTCCAAGGTCATACCACGCAAACATCAACATCCACGCTTTCAATTGTCCCAGCATTAGTCCAGGCTGAGCTGAACCACGAAGGGCCAGGAATCATACCCGATCCTAGGGTCACCAGACAGCCACGATAGGTTTTGATGTGGGAAAGATGGATGGGAAGGCCCAGACCAGCTTGGAAGCTGCTTTAATAGTTTATGTGAGGGGTAGTGAGGGTTGACCTCAGTGGGTGGGGGGGGGGTATTTAGGGAAGACAAGAGGGGTTGCTTTGGGAGACACAGAAAGGGAAGTAAGTGTGTGGCTGCCATGGCTCCTGGGTGGATGTGTGGAGCTCAACTAGAGTGGAACTCCAAGGAGTTCTTTTTTTTTTTTTTTTTTTTTCGAGACAGGGTTTCTCTGTGTAGCTTTGCGCCTTTCCTGGAACTCACTCTGTAGACCAGGCTGACCTCGAACTCACAGAGATCCGCCTGGCTCTGCCTCCTGAGTGCTCGGATTAAAGGTGTGCACCGCCACCGCCCGGCTCACAGAGTTCTTGCGGGAAGCTGATGCTCTTTTCTCTCTACTAGTTAATTGTATGTGTCAACGACTTTACAATTTCTCTCTGTGAGCCGGGCAGTGGTGGCGCACGCCTTTAATCCCAGCACTCGGGAGGCAGAGCCAGGCGGATCTCTGTGAGTTCGAGGCCAGCCTGGGCTACCAAGTGAGTTCCAGGAAAGGTGCAAAGCTACACAGAGAAACCCTGTCTCGAAAAACCAAAAAAAAAAAACAAAACAAAACAATTTCTCTCTGTGAGATTATAAGCGTTTTAGAAAAAAGAAGGAAGGAAGGAAGGAACGAAGGAAGGAAGGAAGGAAAGAAAGAAGAAAAAAGAGCAGGTAGGTGGGACAGGGCAGTTCTTAACTCAATTGAAGTTGCCCAAGGCTCCCATCTCAGGCCTGGGAGTACCACCATGGATTTCCCAGCAAGCCAAGGAGGGCAGAAGGTGTCACTGTGGGTGGCTGTGACCCTTGAGTGTGCAAGTGGCAGCTGGCGGCTATGAGGGACCAGGCAGGGGGCTGCCTTGGGTTTCTTCCAGATGCTGCTGGAGCTACAGAAATTGGAGAAGTTTCTAGAAGCCTGGCAACAGCATTCCTTCTCTGTCTGGCTTCCCAAGGCTGGTCCAGTAAACTGAGCCCAACCCCACCCCACCCCCACTCACCCCTGCACCACCCCAGCTGCCCACTACTCTGGGAGTGTTCAGCAACAGGACAGGCAGGTGGAGGCTGGAGCTGCAGGTGCTGTGCATGTCACCTGAGCCCTGATATTGCTGCCCCTTCAGGGAGGGGGAGTCCCGACAGAGAGAGGAGCCCCTATAGGGAGAGGGAGTTGCATTACCATGGATGCCTTCCAGTTAGCCCACTGGCCTCCCCTGGCTCCGAACTTGGGACTAGGGTGTTGTTCTGTTGACCTTTGACCTGGCCACATGACCCCTGTAGGCATCTGAAGCCAGAAGGGGCTGGGATTTGGTGGGAGGGGCAGGTTCCCTGGGTACCTCAGTCCTGGGTGTGAATCCTAGCCTCTGTTGGTTGACACTCAGGTACCCTTGCCCACATCTTGGTTTCTCGAATCATCAGTTGCCCTGCCTGCCCCTGACATGGGGGCCTGTGGAGGTTGGCAAGTTCCTGCCCAGAGATGCTGAAAAGAATGCGATTCATCCCCCATTCCCTCCTCTGTCAGTGAACACGAGGAGAGAAGTGTCCCAAACTGATCCCAATGGAACCACTAGAAGCCAGTGAGTCTGAACAGCCGCTGTGAAAGGCCTAATGGTACTGTCAGCTCGGCATCCAGATGGGCACCCAGAGCAGAGCCCGCCTAGCCAGATGGCTGAGGCCCAGGGGGCCAGAGTCAGGACTGTGGGGCATGGGCAGCCGAGGCAAGCCTGCTCTCTTGGCCTCTCGGCCCTGCCTTTCCCTGTAGCCTCAGCTGCCCTGGCCTGTCTCCAACCGGAGTAGTGGGGCTGCTGATCTTGACACTGTACTCTGCCAGCTTTGGGAGCCCTGTCTCCCTGTGACCTTGTTCTGAGGAGGCAGACAGTCCATGCTTATGAAGCAGCCTAGCTAGGACAAAAGCCCAGCTTCTGGCTACATGACCTACATCTTTTTCCAGAATACCCCAGGATTCTTGGATGGGACCATCCCTCAAATCCCTCCAGGGCTGGTTGTCATTCCTATAGGAACCCAGGATCTGCCTTTCAGTCCAGCCACTTTTATTGTCCCAACAAGGTCTCATTACATAGCCCAGGCTGTCCTAGAACTCTTGACCCTCTGCCTGCATTTGCCGAGTGCTGGGTGGCAGGTGGGTACCCCCCATGCACAATCCACCTCGAATATCTGCACTTACTGTTCCTCCTTCTGCCACAACCTCCCTGACTCCTGTGGGGCAGCTCCCTGCTCTTCAGTTTTGGCTCCCAGGCTGCCTGTTCTTAAGGGTCCTCCTGGATGAGGAGGCACCCAAATGCCCTCCCTTTCTTTGATAAGAATCACTTGCTTCCAGAAAAGTAGCTGATTTTTGTATAGGTAACAGATTCACATAGCTCAAA